ATTGGAAAGCAGCTATCCATGAGACTTTTATCGCGGGAGCTGTCTTTAAGTAAAACTGGTAGAACTGCCGGTAGGAGAAAGTAACGTTAGGTGAAATTGAAAATAATGATATAAGCGATCCGGTCCAGCCATAGGAGGAGACGGTTAAATGATTCATTTCTCCGTCTCTCAGTCCGAGCTTAATTTCCCGGTTTGGGTCACTTGGTCAATTTTTTCATCTCAAAGAAAATATGAAAAAAAAACAGGAGTGCAATTGACAGTAAACTGCTGATATAGACTATGATCACGATAAGAGCGTGAGTTGTTCATGGGCCGATGCCCGCTGAGCTGCATAGAAAATGCACTTTCCTCACAAAAGAGATGATTATAAAGATAAAATTACAAACTTTTTCCCACCTTTACACCGAATTCCGAGAATCTCGTGACATTAGGAAGTGCAGTTAACTCCATACGACTTCCTAGCGAATGGCTATCGACAGCCAACGACGAGTTCACTAGAATTCAAGGTCTGTTCGGCTGAATACATTGGCGCATCACTCTTGATGAAAGAACAGTTTACGTCGATGAAAAATGCTATGAAACTTTAAATATCTTACCTGAGGAGCAAATGGACGTTTCGAGAACATTATCAGGGACTCCACTACTGCTTGCTGCATTTGTCGGGGCACTTCGAGTTTTTCTACTGACTTCATCTAAGACCTAAAAATATTCCTTTCAGCGTTTTAGGTCGACAAAATTCCGCTGAAACAGACTTTCTTTACTGCAGATGACCCACCGCATCCACTGAATCAGGAACCGGGAGTCCTTGATAATTTTCATAAGCACGAACTGCACTGTCATAATTCTTCGGAGTGCTCATCGGTAAGTCTCCATTCATTGTAGCATATCCACTACTGGTATCATTCCAAGTGGGATCTCCGCGGGAAGGTTGACATCGCTGGAGATTCGGAGTGCGGGGAGCGGATGGTGCAATCGCAGATGGGGCCAGCGAACTGCAAAGAAGAGAGAGCTTGCACTTTGTACTTCTAGAATCGAACACTTTGATTTATGTGAGGAAATACGAAAATTACAAAAAAAAACGTACGCATTCAAGGCCTTCTCTAGCACACTTTGCTGTGGTCGTGGTACTGCTTCAGGGCCAGTTCCCCATATGTGTGATGTGAGTTGAGGAACTGCAGGTCCATTTTTCAACGCAGAAGGTCGAGAAAACGCACCAGATGATGTGCTTGGCTCCTCTTCGTGCATATCTTCTACCACCATTCTTAATGGCAAATATTTAATGGAAAACGAGTAGAATATAGAATAAGATTATAAAGCGGCGAACCCTTTATTATCAACTAGACGGTACTTGTTCATTCGGTCTTTCAGTAATCGTTGACTGCGATTCTTTAAGTACGTTGCCTTTCCTTTAACTGCCACCAGTTCCCATCTGAAATCAATATCA